ACGTCTTTGGGCGTGTGTGTGTGTGTGTGTGTGTGTGTGTGTGTGTGTGTATATATATATATATATATATATATACACACATGTGTGTGTGCGTGTGTGTGTATATAACGTACAGTTTGATGGTTACCTCACAGTCTTGATGGCCAGTGTTCTTGCTTCAAATTTTTATCATCAGTATAGTGCTGTTGAAAGTTCTTGCTTCAATACAGAATCTTTTAATCTTGTACAATTTGCCACTGGCACAGTAATTATTCCCTTTTATTACTCATTTGCCAAATACAGTCCACTGCTGCTTCAATTCTCGTTAATCCCATTATCATTGCGTTGCATTGATTATGTGACATAAATTTCTGTAGAGCATACCTGTCAACCTCGGATAATACCTGCCCTTATAAATGATTACGATTCCCCTTATAAAGCAACAAAAACCCGTACAACGGCTTACCGCGCATGCACACATCATGCTTTATCAATCCAACCGTACGCAGCGATGAAAAAAATATATACGATTGAGGATTACTTTTGCTGGTTTGCCGTGACAATAGAAGCGATGGAGAACGGCATTGTCTTGAGACGATCTGGATTTGAGCCAAAATGGTCTTTGTGAGATCGGTTCACAATTGTTATTTTTTTCCCCCGTATAAAAGTTGTAATACGCCGTACATGATTTGAAATGATAAAAAAAACGTATAAAATACGGGGAAAACGTACAAGTTCACAGGTATGGTAGAGAGTCATCACCAGACCTGACTGACTCGACTTGACTTTGCCTGTAGGTATTCGGCTGTGTGTTTATTTCGTCTATGGTCATGCTTTCTGCTGGATAATTGGCAATCATCAGAGGACGAATGTGAGTGTGTTAATGTTTAATTCTGCCAGACCACATTCAGTTAATAGCCAGCAGGCAAATAAATAAATGACAAAGCACGTTGAAAGTGACTTTGCATCTTGATCTTTTAACACAGAGACCTTGCCGTCTTACGTTAGATTTGTGTGTGCGTGTGTGTGTGTGTGTGTGTGTGTGTGTGTGTGTGTGTGTGTGTGCATGCGTGCGTGCGTGCGTGCGTGTGTGTGTGTGAAATATTGAGATGTGAATCTACAGGCAAGGAACCATGGGAGGTTTTATGGAGTGGTAGAACACTACTGGTCTCTGGGAGCAAAGGCAACATGCGTGTGTGTGTGTGTGTGTGTGTGTGTGTGTGTGCGTGTTTGTGTGACAGCAGTCAATTCCAAGAGCCAATAATTACTGCTAACTTCTGCCCTTCCTGACAGAAGTTAGCATGTGTTGAAACATTTTTTAAAAAAAAATCACACGACGTACTATCGTGACAGTCACACGCTGACTACTGAGTGAATTAAATTTCCCACAGCACTGATTGGACAAGCAATGTAATGTGATCATCTGTAGCCAGTGACGGCCAAGCGGGTGTGTCAAAACTAAATGACATGTTGAGTCGGCTGTGTCTTAACCTCCATGGCAGATGCTCTGTTGAACCTCTGAGACTGACTCACCGAACCCACGTTAAGAACCACTGCACTCGGCCAAAGCTGCCAATCATGTGTTTCACATATTTATAATTGACGTAGATCTAACATCTACCACATGTGTTCGCGGAGTTCAACAACTGATTCACAGTCACTCAAATCGCATGAGACCAGTTGTCTACCCTGCACACCTCAACGCGGTCTGAGCAGATTTTAGTTGAGATCAACTTTCTTACAACATATTGTCACTTTGCCAGGCGCATCTCCAACAAGGCTCCCTATGGTGTGCCGGCATGTCCATCTTGCCAAATTGGCAAAAGCGCAGCGAGCGTTGCGTTGACACAAAAATCAGGATTTGCTGGCATTTTTGCACCCCACTGCAGATGTCCTGTCTTCGTAAATGTTTAACTCGGACAAGTGAGATATTGTTTCCCTCATTCCACATACTAAGCTCTTCTGAGAACATAAAACAATAACGCACTGGTATTGCCGGACGATCCGAGCCTAAACTAAACATAGAGTCAGGTTGCTATGCTGTTCACAGTCACTTGGGATAATCCCCTAATACATCAGGAGCATTGATCACTCAGGTAGGTAAACAAACATACAGTAAATCCACAGGTTTTCTGGAGCCGACGGCTGATGACCGGGAGTGTGGCTAGTTCCTTGTTGCCACGGAAACGGCTCATGTTCATTCCTCCTTTAACCACATTTGCTCAGCAGCGGTCCAAATGTTCTTGTCACTTGCCTCCGATTCGTTACCTCTGCGACTTGGAAGTGGCATTCTTGGTTTTAATGAACATCTTTTCTGCTCGGCACATCTCTGCCAGTGAGGTCAAAGCATTTGTGAATGGAATGGCAAATGAGCAGCGCTGGGCCGACCTTGAGTGAAATGTATATTTATACTTAAGAGCCAAATCCCTTGCACATTGTGTCTGTGGAGCTCATGTCAGTGTCCTCTGCCTTGGCTGGTGGAGGAAATTATTCATGGTGTCGGTCCCAAAGCCCCGTTGGTAAAACCCACACTTTGCTGCTACTTTGTTTCCTCCTCAATGACAAAATGATTCCTGTCATTTTGGCATACGTTCAAATGTTCTTCCAATTGAACAGATATGACAAGCATTGTTTTCCTCACCAAACACCATCTTAATCACCATTTTAATATACAGGTACACTAACTTCAACACTAGTTCAGTTTTGGCACTGCACCATATTTGATTGACACCATTTTTCATGTTAGGTGTGTGTAAAATATATATTCAGGTGATTAGAGATTTATATAGCGGCCCGGTGGACCAATGGTTAGCGTGTCGACCTCACAGTGCAGAGGTTGTGGGTTCGATCCCGGCTCCGGCCTTCCTGTGTGGAGTTTGCATGTTCTCCCCGTGCCTCCGTGGGTTTTCTCCTGGTACTCCGGTTTCCTCCCACATTTCAAAAACATGCATGGCAGGCTGATTGAACACTCTAAATTGTCCCTAGGTGTGAGTGTGTGCGTGGATGGTTGTTTGTCTTTGTGTGCCCTGCGATTGGCTGACAACTGGTTCAGGGCGTTCCCCCGCCTACTGCTCAAAGATGGCTGGGATAGGCTCCAGCACGCCCCGCGACACTAAAGCCGTTCAGAAAATGGATGGATGGGTAGATTTATATGATTTTCATGTCATATCAGCCCTTTGAGGTATATGTAGCCTGTGACAAAAATTTGCTTGTTTGCATGTAGAAAGCATGTTGATTTTTTATACCTTTACTAATTTTTAAGACATAAGAAACCAAAAAAATAAAAAATAAAAAATCACCATGTGTCTTCCGATTTCTCTTGTAGTTTGTGGTGTCCCAAAAGCAGAATATTAAACCATAGATCCCACAATCATGAGTCTCGTCCCTCCAACCAGATACCAATCGTAGTACCAGGAGTGACCTTTGGAGAAGAATTATGTTACCTCAAGCAATGCAGAATGCTGGAAATGCCAAAGAAGAAAGAGAAGAGCAAAATCGAAGTAGCTCGGCCGTTAGCTTATTTTGCAACTCCATTTAGTAGGTAAATGCTTCTTCCTATCATTTCACTGTTGCTCTCCCTGCCCAGGAAGTAGGAAATGAGGGCTGTTCCAGATGGCTGTGAGCTTAGATGGTGTTCGAGTGGTGTTGGTAAATTTTAGGAATTTCCGCCAGGATCTCAGAGCGTAAGATCGCATTACAAATTTGAAGCATGCGTGATGTTTGATTGAGCTGCTATGAAACAAAAGCTTGGAAATTGGTATGTTGTTGCATATTATCTGTTCTCAATCAAACCAGGGACTGTCTGCATGGTGTGAGTGTGACAATTTATAAATGCATTGTAACTGAATTGATATTGGGTCATGGATAAAATTTGGTGCCCCGAGACTCTCTTGTGATTCGGGTTTTTGTAATGTTGATCATTTTATTCTGGGGAATTTATTTTGCCGGTAGAACTGAGATATTATTGAATTGAGGGTTTGAAACCAGGATGAAGTCGGATGACTTGGAATGATATTGAGAAGGCAGTTTATTTTTCAGCTACTGCCCTTTAATGTGTTTGCCCCCTGCTTGCGTTGGTTTTCTAT